ATGATGGTTGTCCCTATGGGTTGGACTAATGGGGTAGCCGTTTTTCAGAGAGCCATGGTAGCCGTCCTCAAGGACTTCATCCCTGATAAGGTTGAAGTTTTTCTGGATGACTTTCGTATAAAAGGGTCAGTAAACAAGGATGTGGCAGAGGTTGCACCTGGAGTTAGAAGATTCGTCGAGCAGCACCTAACGAATATTTGCGCGGTACTCGAGCAGCTGGACGATGCGAATCTAACAGTCAGCGGAACAAAGAGCCGATGGGCCGTCTCGACTATTAAGATCTTGGGCTTTATCTGTGACTCGAGGGGACGCCGAGCAGATCCGGCGAAGTTAGACAAACTCCTGAACTGACCGTCACCATTACATAGTCCAACCGAAGTCCGGCAGTTTCTGGGAGTGGTCGGTTACTGGCGTATATTCATATGAGGGTATGCGGAGAAGGCTGAGCCATTGAGACTACCCCTTCGAAAAACTAAGAAATTCTACTGCTATTCCCCGCAGGAACTCGCTATGCAAGAGCTTAAAGATGAATTTAAGGAGGGAGAACGCGTACCGGGCATGCCGTTCTTTGATGATGAGGCTAGGAGACCCTTCATAGTAGCCACGGATGTCGGACCTTGTTCGGTAGGAGGGTTGCTGTCTCAGAAGGACGCTAAAGGGAAGGAAATACCTTTAAGATTTGAAAGTAGGACACTTAATACGGCAGAGCGAAACTATAGTCAATTCAAGAAGGAAGTATTAGCTTTTTTGCGGTGTCTAGACGCGTTCAGACATTATATATAGGGACGATGGTTCATATTGAGAGTGAATCCCACTGCGGTCGCCTCTGTCCTCCAGAATGACTTTAGCCTGACAGACCCGACCATTGCACGATGGTTAATACGGATTCGACTATATGATTACACAGTAGAGAGAATATCTGGCACTAAAAATGCCGTAGCGGATGGGCTCTCTCGGATCCCTCTTGAGGGAGAGCGCCCGATAGTAGCTGGAGCCCTGATAATGGCGGAGCCGAGACGCGCCGAGAGATTTCTCGTTAACCTTTACGAGGGCAAGTACCGAACGATCGGGCTACACCTGACGGGAGAGGAGAGTCACGATTTAGATATCCGGAGACAAGCAGCCCAGTACTGCCTTAGAGCGGGCCACCTTTTCCGAAAGCCAGTAGGGTCGGGGATGCCCTTACGAGTAGTCTGTGATCCTGAAGAGAGACAGGCGATAGTAGCGGAGCTTCACGACGGGGTGGTCGGAGGACATAGAGGAGTTAGAGGGACCTACGAAAAGGTACGCAGGTTGTACTGGTGGGAAGGACAGTATAAGGACGTCGAGAGATATTGTATGACCTGTGAAGAATGCCAGAAGAGAGCTCTTGTGAAATACAAAGAGCCACTTCATCCATCCTATCCAACCCGACCAGGAGAGAAGGTACACATCGATCTGGTGAAGATGCCGAAAGGGGTAGGCAATATGAACTATGTTGTGAACATACGAGACGACTTCACGGGGTTCGTGGACGGTAGACCTATCAGG